CTTCTTTCTTGTATTATTCTAGTAGCTCTCACTGGTATCCCTGCCTCAGTTATCTTCCTCACTTTAATCTGTTTTCCACAAAGCTACCAGTGCTTTTCCTAAAGTGCAAGTCTGACTGTGTCATTTCACTAATCAGTAAACTCCTGTGGCTCCTTATAATTACCTCCAGGATCAAGTATAAATTCCTTTGTTTGACATTTAAAACTCTCAAGACTTGGCTCCCTCTGCCTTTTTCACCATTATTACACCTTACTCCCTTTCATGCAATCCAGGGTCCAGTCATTCTGGCTGTCTTCTCATTCCTCCCACATGACACACTGTCCTTTGTCCATGTTATCACTGAAGGGTGGAAGGCACTTCCTTCTTACCTCCACATCTTGAAATCCTAGTTTCATTTAGGACTCAAGTGTGCAAGTGTCTCTTTCTCTAACAAGCCATGTCTGGTTCACCCATCAGCTAGTACCTCCCCTACTCTGCCCATCTCTCAAGTTATCTTGTAACTATTTATACTTGTTCTATACCCTTATTTATGTATGTTGTTTGCCTTGTTTTGAATGGGTGCTTCTCTAGGGCAGGGGCTGTTTAGCCTTGTTCTTGTATACTCATCACTTAGCACAGTGTTGGGCACCTAGTTGATGCTTAATAAATGTTGTGGGACTGCTAGGTGGAATGGTGGATAGAGTGGCAGGCCTGAAGATAGGAAGACCAAAGTTCAAATCCAGCCTCAGACACTAGCCAAATGACCCAGGGCAAGTCACTTGATTATATTTGCCTCTGTTTCCTCATCTGTAAAATGAGCTGGAGAAGGAAATGGCAAACCACTCCAGTATGTTTGCCAAGAAAACCCCCAGTGTGGTCATGAAGAGTCAGATATGACTGAAACGACTGAACAACAACAAAAATGTTTGTTATTGAGTGAATGGGCTCTTAAGAGCATGTTAGATTTTTCTTGCTTTTGGAGAGCTGTAGAGCAACTTGAGAGGATTGGGAACTGGGAGGGAGGCAGTGGCAAAGAAAAGGAAATACAATTGGACCAAATGCAGATTTACCCTTCATGGCATTTTTTTCCTCTAGTGCTGGCCTTCATTCACTCAGTAGACGTTTATTAAGTATCTACTGCGTGCTAGGCGTTGTTCTATACCTTAGAGAGACAAAGACAAAACAACAGTTCTACCTCTCAAAGAGTTTCTATTGTACTGGTCTTGCTTCCTTTCCATTGCCTACCTGTCAAATGTAGCTATCACTTTTTTTTGTTTGTAGTTTCTATATTTCTCCTTTCTAGTATCTCCTCAGTTTTTCTTTTTCTTTTTTTATTCCTGCCATTAAGTAAGGGAAGGGAGAGGGAGGGAGTTGAGCTAGTCTAAGTGAAATGGTGACCATATAGAAACTTTCGATGTTAAGGTTTCTCTGAAAAATAGGTATATTCCTCAGGTATATGGAGTAATAATTGATATTCTAAAGTCATCTTTTTTTTATTCAACCTAGCAGAAACCATTGACTACCTGACAGTAAAGGAGACATCATGATGATACAGTGGAAGTCTGAGTACTGTGGAGGCAGGGGCCCTGGATTCAAATCCTACATCTAGTGCTTACCATCTATAGTGCCTTGAACAAGTCACTTAGCTTTCATGGGCCTCAGTTTCCTCATTGGTAAAATAGAGATTGGACATGGTAGCCCTCGAGGGCCCTTCTAGCTGTATCTGTGATAAATATAAACTATAAATAAAAGACTAAAAATTAGGAAAGTTTAGGACCATTTAAAACCTCCCTATTTGTGCTTTTAGTTTTAAAGGGATATTTTATAGAGTACAGTTCAATAATTGATGTTCATAAAAACTTCAAAAAGTTACCAAAGTTAAAATTCGTTAAATAGGAAGCCCCCAACTTATGAATAGATTGTGTTTGAGAACTCTGTCAGTCAATTGAAACTTGGAATGTGTTTTCTTGATAAAACAATGTTATAAAATGTGGTTCAATTCTGAGGCTAACTCACAAAACCCTTTTTAACCCATGATGTAATTGATTGGATGTGAAAGGGAATTTCTTCCCCTTCATCTCAGACCAGAGTTAACCCTAGGCAAAAATTTAAAATAAGTGAATACTTTTCACATTTTTTTCAGGCTTCTGAGTGTCCAATGCTATCAGGTTGCTCCAAGCCCCTAATGTGCACTCAATCCAGGTGTGTTCAAATCTCCTCCAATGCTAAAAAAATTTACCTATCACCTCTTCACCTTTAATCAAAATTACTACTTTCTCAGTGCAGATTATCAAAACTTGATATTAAGATGATAACAGTCTGATAGAACTAATTCCCATTAAGGTATGACTTATTGAAAACTCCATAATTCACCAAAGAATATTTGAATTTTTAAAGGATACTTGTTACCCCTTAAAAAGATTTCTGAGTGGTAGAATTTCAGGCAGTACAGCGAGTGAAGTTAAAAAAAAACAAAAAAACTCAGGAAAATTTTTTTTTACCAGATTATACATATATCCTAAAGGTCATTCTACTGAGACGTTTCTGCTTTTTAGAACTTCTACCCTTCGTCCATTTTACAGCCTCACAGATTTTCTAAAAGCTCAACATTACCAACAGATGCTCCTGTAGTAGCAGCAATTTGGAGCTCCATTTGAAGGGAGTGGGGCAAACTCAAATGTTTGTACAGTGTTTGTTTGTAAGTTATAACTAGCTTGTATTCCCTATAAGAGGTAGTGAAATGTGTATGTATTTTGGAAAGATTTTCATTTAAAAGGATAAAAATGAATGCTGAAATTTCAGCAGTTAAAGAATTAAGCTTCATTTAGTTAGAGACCTCATTCCCCGTGATATTGGTTAGAGAAAGAAAGAGGCTGGACCTGGGATTTCATTGATAGAGGAAACTCCCAGATAAGGACATTTCTTCAACCAGGCAAGTACCTTCTGCCCATTTATGGTCTTAGAGAGTTTACTAGAACACTGAGAATTAAGTGGTATGCTTAGGGGTTACATAGCTAGGATGTGTCAGAAGCAGGACTTGAATCCAGTTCTTCCTGATTGTAAGGCCATCTCTACCCACTAAGCCAGGAATGCCTCACATTGATTAAATGAAGTTTTACCCTACTTGAAAATGAAGTGCTTATTTGGCTGTAAAACTTAAGCTTTATTCCTTTGATTTCAGATTTCTGTGGTACCTTATGATTCATCTCTTTATTTATTTATTCATTCATTTATTTATCTATTTATCTGCTTATCTATCTATTTATTTATTCATGCAGTTATCTATTTATTTATTTATTTATTTATTTATTTTGCGAGGAGTCATAGTTAAGTAACTTTCCCAAGGGTCAAACAACTAGTTAAGTGTCAAGTGTCTCAGGCCAGATTTGAACTCAGGTCTTCCTAAGAACAGGGCTGGTGCTCTATTTGCTTCCCCACCTAGCTGCCCCTGTATCGTATGATTTTTAAAGATGGAATTGGATTTCTGTTCTTCTGTTGTTCATGTAAATACAGAAGTGGCATTATGAAATAGTGGACAGAGAGAGAACCTCAGAGTGAGGAATACCTGAGTTCACGAATTGTCTCTAACATAAATTGGTTATATCACCCTAGGCAGATCACTTGACTTCTTGGTACTCTAACCAGTTCTCTAAGACTATAAATTGAAAAAAGATGCCAAATTGCATTAGTAGGGTATGTTTCCTCACCCGTAGGAACCTTATGCCGATGAAATCATAGGACAAGTCTCTATCCTTCTGTTTGGCATGAAGAAAGGAAATATTAGTAAATTTTGTTTTATTTGGCTTGCTGTTGCTAATGATAACTTTTTTGAGTTGCTTGTTCAATTAAGTAAAGGTTTCTACCTTAATTTTCACCATGGTAATGAAAATATGTTTAACTTTCTTTAGTGTTTGACTTCATAAATCCCCACTGGGAGATAGACTCACCACTTACATACTGATAGCTGTGATCGTGACAGAAGCCTTTACTTAATAATTATTTTGGGGAATAATAAGCTAAGTAGAAACACAATTCACAAATTTCGAAAATGTTTTTCCTACCCTCAGGACTAGACAACTTAGTTCTGTGCTTGTATGAGCTTTCCCTCTCCCTCTTCTAATTCATTCTTGGATTTATTTTTGTATGTTTTTGTTCTTGTCTTTGATGAAGAAACAGAAGAATAAAAAAGATAAACGACTAATAATGATGCTTGTTATCAGGTTAAATATCAGTGCAGAGTTAAGTATACATTCAGAGAAACCAAATTTAGATCCCTGATCTAAAACTTTAGTTTTAACTAAATTTGATCTTTGCAAACTTCCATAGGTAATGAATCTTAGATGATATATGATTCCTAATTTCTAATGATAACCACCTATCAGAATTATGTGAACATACATAATTCATTTAGTGATGCATGTTTTTAACACCATATTCATATCAGTGAAATGAATCTGTCAAAGCATAGAGATTTACAAAAATGCGGTTTCAGAGATAAACCCTTAAACCTTTAGGAGCCAAACTTTTCTTCTGTTTTCGACTTGGATGAGTTTGATTGTATTGAAGTACACCATTGGCAGTAGTGTTTATTACTGGTAATATGTAATTGTGAGAACAATAGTTTTTGTTCTAAAAATATACCTGTTATTCAGATTTCAAGCCGCTCTCCATTAGTTACTAGGGTTTCCTTTTTTTTTTTTCCAGCATGATGGATTTGTGATATGTAATCAAGCTCATTTTTCATTAGTGAATTGATTCAAGATTTAAGCTTTATACTAGGGATGAAAATCTTAGGCTCTTCTGTCTATCTTCTCTTGCAGATTTGTTTTTATATAATTTTAAAATTACAGGCAGTTGAGAGCTACATGTACAAATATTTTTAATTGAAGCATGAGTGAATAGGTTGTTCCTAGGAGGTAATTTAATAGCTTGTACATTTGACATTTTGAAACTTAAACATTAATCAAGTGGACATGTAAAACTGATTTCATATGCCCATTTGCTAAACTTGATCTTTTTAGGCAGTTACACTTAAGCATGAACATTGAAGACAAATTGGAAGGATTATTTCTTAAATGTGGCGGCATAGACGAAATGCAGTCTTCCAGGGCGATGGTTGTAATGGGTGGAGTATCTGACCAATCTGCAGTATCTGGAGAGCTACAGGAAGCAGTGCTTCAAGATCGGAGTTTGCCACATCAAGATATCCTTGCAGCAGATGAAGTGTTACAAGAAAGTGAAATGCGACCACAGGAGATGATTTCACATGATGAACTCATGGTCCATGAGGAGACAGTGAAAAATGATGATGAGATGGAGACACAGGACAGGCTTCCTCAAGGACTGCAGTATGCAGTTAATGTCCCTGTAAGTACTTACTGTACCCAATATTTAGCTCTAATTAGAAAGGGCATCTTAGTAATAAAGAGGTTTCAGTAATGTATAAATGATTCAAATACTTATCAGTAATAGTAGAATTGACTATAGTGAATCACTGATTTATTCAGTACATGTGCTGAAAAGATTGTTATATAATACTGACAAATCACATTTTAGATGGCAAATGTAACAGTTATAAAGTGAAATTTTATTATCCCCGTCATAACTGTTTTTGTCAACTTATGAATTACAAACACCTAATATTTGTTAGAAATTCTGTTTAAATCTGGAACCTTTCCTAAGGCGTCAAGAAATTTGAATTTTGCTTTTTAGACCATAACTAGAGAAAAAAATAGGTTGAACTCAGCTGATAAAATGACACCTAAACAGAAGGTTTTCTACTGCTAACTCTTTGCTTACCATCATTAAAGTGTTTGGGTCTCTTGTCCAAAGACTACCACCTGGAAACTGAGCACTTTTCTCCATTGGTGCTCCTTTAGTTTCTTTAGTACAGCATAGAATCAGTCATCCTGGTTAGGGTGTATAGACCATTTTAATTTTACTACCATTGTGTATAGGGATTTTAGAGTAATTTCTATCTATAGGTAAGAAAAATAGTATGTAGCAGGTATATAGTCTTAAGTTTCTTTTTAGTTTGACCCAGCTTGACACTTTGAATTCTTTTCAAGTCAGCTTAAATTTCTCTGAATAAGTTCTTCCTACTTCTACCCTGAGTCCAAGCTAGTGCTTTTCTCTCAGCTCCTTAGGTCTCTGATAAAGTAGGATCCTTTTTGACTTCCTAGTGCTGGCTTCCTAGTCAGGGGGAAACTTTATTCTTTGTAGTCACATGACACCCTGTCAGGTTGCTCCTCTCTCATCCAGCAGACTAATAGGAGCTGAGAAAGCAGCTTAAACTTGTTAAATGTTGATTTTTTTTTTAACATCATAGCCACTACCCTTAGCCTGTCTGAACTCCTGCTTCTCGATCTTCCTTTGTACCAAAGAAAATATTTAAGCAAAATTGATCAGTCCAGCAAATGTATCTGTTCTTATTGGCCCCATTTTTCCTTTGTAGTCATTAGACCTGTGGGTTTAATATTGGTCACTACATTTATTCAGTTGCCTTTTTTTGTGATTTTAAATTACATTTTTATAATTGCATATATTATTCTGCTTACTTTACTCTGCATCTGTTCATTTAAATCTTTTCATTTTTTCATTGATTTCCTCATACTTATATTTCTCAAAGAGAGGCTTTTCTATTATCCTTAACTGAATATGGTTTACTCTTATTTAGGCCATTTCATTTTCCCTGTAGAAATCTTTCCAAACAGCTGCTGTACTTGACTTTCAGAACTTTTTGTAAGTTAAATAATATATTCCTTTGTGGCTATCTATTTATTCCTGCAGGGTTAGTCAGCATAACCTGTCTTTTCCTTTTAGTTTCTCTTCCTTTCTGAACCTGTTCTTCAAAATGACATCATTTCTTCCTCTCTACCAGCACCTGTCTTTCATATATGGCATGGTAATAGTTCCTATCTTTTATTTTGTCATTTACTTGGGAATTTGAAAGAACTGGAATTTATTTTCTCTTAATTTCCATGCCTTCTTAAGATTAACTTTTTGTGTATGTATGTATGTATGTATGTGTGTGTATTTTCTTTAATGGTTAATGCCAGTTTCCCTCCACACTCGACGTTATTTCTCATTATGACCAGTTTTGATTCCTTTTGCCCTCCAAGTCATCACCAGAATGTAACTCACTGAATGTAACTCACTGAAAACTTCATTTTCAACAGTGTAGTCTAAGAACAGAGCAACTATTTGATAATCTCATAATTTAAGGTCAAATCACTAACACGGTTCCTTTATTGAGTCCCTCTAGGTGGATCCTGTGCCTGGGTAGCTACATATCTACATTGCTAGTTTAGTGAACAACTTGCTGTAGGGTAAACGCTGTTCAATTTTCTATTAATGTATTCAGTCAACCAAACAAGTATTTATTACCTGCTGTATTCTAGCACTGTGCTAGCTAGACATTGGGAATGCAAATAGAATGAATGAGACAATTACCACTTGCAAGGAGCTTGCATTTTATAATACAGGAGAGACAAGGACAAATATAAGCACATTTGTAACATTGTAACCAACCACAAATTATAATCCTATTCTAGAATAGTAACATAGAAACCCATGATCTGTATCACTTGAGCAGAAAGGGTCTTCCAACTAAGATATATCTGAACCTCAAGTGTGCCATGTAATAATAAAGTGTGGAGTCCTTATGTAGTTATATAATGTATAAAATGATATACTTTAATATTCATCTAACAGCTTATTTTAGGCACAGTTCAAATAGCACAAAGAAGTCAATTTGTATATATCTTATGGCTTATAAAAGTCGTCTTGACTTTTGTCTTGGCACTGGACTTTGATGACTCTGGAAGAGAGAGCGGGTCTGATGATTTTGTGCAACTCTGCCTCACTTAAATCCAATTTACAAGCAAGTCAAGACATCACCCTGTGATGTCATTGATCTTCTTTAGAAATGAAGGATGAACAGCAATATCTCATAGCTTAGTGTTGGCCTACAAAGGAGACCAAAATGTTCACAGTATCATAAAATCATCTTTGCCCAGTGGTGCCATTAGAGCCATTTTTTGTTCTATGTGTATTTAGAAATCTCTAATTCTTCCTCGACTGGCATGTTTAGTCTTATCAGGAATGATAAAGAGAGCTCCTTTTTGAAAGATTTTAATGTACAATTGATAAAAACTCAAGATACTATAGCTACATTCTTCAGATTATTTTGCAAAGGGGATAGTGGGAAGGACAAGGATGACTTCCTTCTATGAATAAACATTTTCTTTTTCCTTTTTTTTTCCTTTTTAAATTTTTTTTTAGGCAATTGGGGTTAAGTGACTTGCCCAGGGTCACGCAGCTAATAAGTGTCAAGTGTTTGGTCTGTGAGGTCAGATTTGAACTCAGGTCCTCCTGACTTCAGGGCCGGTGCTTTATCCGCTGTGCCACCTAGCTGCCCCTTCTTTTTCCTTTTAAATAATTCTAGATAGTTAATCTGTTCTATGCATTTTGTACTCTGGTTTATTCAGGTATAAAGTTGGGCTACATTTATCAATAATTTGGAATGGTCTTTCAAATTCATCCTAGAAAGGGACAGACTTCCTTTTCATGCTCATTTCTCCCACTTCCCATTTCCATTCATTCAAATGCTTATTAAAATAATTTGCTGCTTTGGCTAACATCCAATTTTTTAGGGTCTATATAGTTCATTCCTTTAGCTTGATGAACTACATACTAGAGCCACTTTTGATTACTAATGAGTATACTTAAAGGTTCATTTGAGAGTGCCAAAAGATGTTTTGACATATATATTACCTGTCTATTTATTTTCTCATATGGGACAACTTTAGTGGCTTGCATCTGGGATTCCCCTTAGTGCCATATGCTTCATGGAAGGTTCAACACTAGTCCTTTCCACTTGAATTGTCATAGCTTTTCAGCAGTGTTTTTATAAATAGATTTTTCAGTTCTCGTACTAGGCATCACAGTAATAATCATTTGGACTTCATGGTTTATGCTTAGTGTTTCAGCCAAATGTTCCATAGTACTCTTTACAAAATGTGATTCTTAATTTCAGTCAGTTTTTCTGGGAAAACCCACAATGTGAATATTTTTCTAACATTATTTATGATATTATGATAATATTGTTTGTTACTGCTTGTTAAAAAATAGATATCTCTTCTGATAGATTTTTAAGGGAATGATCCTAAAATTGTTTAATGATCCAAATTAGCTTTGTTTTTTTCCAGAGCTGGGCATAAATTAAAGCATTGTAACAGTATTTCTGAATATCAAGCAATGATTTTTTAAAATTTATGTTTTATTTTATTTATGCATTATTTATGATTATAAAGCATTTATTGAGTACCTAGTGTAGCATAGTGAATAGAGAGCTGAGTTAAAAGTCAGCTGTATTCAGGTCCTACCTCTGACACATAGTGGCTTTGTGACACCTAGGAGGTGAGGCAGTAAGCATTTATTAAGCTCCTACTATGTGCCAGGCACTGTCCTAAGTGCTTTATAAATATTCTTTCGTTGGATCCTCACAACAACCCTGGAAGGTTGGTGCCATTATTATCCCCATTTTACAGTTGAGGATATTGATGCAAACAGAGGTAAAACACAGATTCATACAACTAGTAAGTATCTGAGGTCAGATTGGGAGGTCAGAGGTCTTCCTGACTCCAGGCCTCGCGCTCTAGTCACTGTGCTGTCAGTTGCCTCTAAAACTCTTGACAAGTTACTTAACCTTTCAGTGCTTGAATTCTGTTGCTATTAGTTAATACCTGTGGAATGGGCAAATAAATTCTGTAAATTAAAGGAGGTTGGACTAGATTGAGATTCTTAACCTGGAGTCCATAGATCTCCAAGGGGTTTTTGTTCATAGATTTCAAGGAGTCTGTGAATTTGGATAGGAAAAATATTACATCTTTATTTCAATATAGTTGACTTTCCTTGTAATTCTCTGTATATTATTACGTTATTCTGAGGTGTCCGTAGACTTCACTGGACTGCCAAAGAGGTCTGTGACCAAAAGGAGGTCCCTATAACCCCTGGACTAGATGATATCTAAAGTCTTTTTCAGTTTTAAATCCTATGACCCTCCATTTGCACGCACATGTGTATGTGTGTGCGTATTTCTAGCTTAAAATACCTTTTGGAGGTAATGGGTGCTATTAATTTACTACCAACTGTATAAAATGATAATTCCTTTTTTGCCTTAAATTTACTTCTTTCAACTTCAGAGGATGACTTTAATTTTGAAGTAGTAGAATTTGATAAATTAATCTTTGTTCAGCCCATCTGAATTATATATTAGTTTTCTATACTATTAAATGATGAGCTTGAGCTAGTTAACTTTGAAGGTCCTTTTCATTTCTAAATTCATGATCCTTTGATCCTTCAGC